GAGTTGCACATATATACCTGTTAAACATTTCTAATGTTTGAATTTATTATGACTCTTAATTATGAGCCCCCTTTTCTAGATGTGTTGTATGAAGGCTATTCTTAAAAGAGACCAAATGTGAATATATTGTGCAGAGTTTGAGGATAACTGACATTAGTGTTTTGTTTGAAAAAGAATTTTAAAAAACATACTGGAAACCTAATCCAATGTCTATGGAAATCCACTCCTCATCAAAGCAAGAAGAAACCCTTTTGTTTGCTGGATAATTAAAGTCTGATTTGTACTTTTTTTTATTTTTTAAGTCAATGGGATTTCTTTGGTAATATAAGTATTGAATTGTGTGTATTTTTTTTTTTTTTTGCATAACTTGAATAACAAATGTCACTGTCCTTATGAGCACCCCTTTATATATTTTAATAGTAAGATGGACAAGTTAGGCCCACCACTGCAAACTGGAAGAGATGTGAAAGGTTTTGTGAACTGATACAAAAACAGACAGTACCATCAAAAGGCCAGATGAGCTGTTGGCTGTAAAGAAGTAACTATTACAAATCAGTGTGGTTTATCTATTTTGCAAAACTGTTTCTCCTAAGCCGAAAAGTGTGTCCTTGACAAACATCAGCTGCCCAGTATGCCTTCCATATCAGTGCTGTGGGAGAAGAGTAGATTATATAATTAGTATCAGACTGAGTAAAACAGCTTCATAGGACAGGGAAGATAAAGGTTTTCCTCAGATTTGATTTCTTCTGTCAGTTCTTGATTACAGATTAAAAGTAACGAATTTGCATCTTGATTACAGATTAAAAGTAATGAACTGGTGTCTTTCTAAATCCAAGATAAAACTGATTTGCATGATGCAAAGCTGAAGTAAGCATTTAAGACTGATAAATGTACAGGTTTTTTACAACGTAAAATTGTAATTTTATTATCTTAAGGTCAAATATTTCTCTAACTCCTACATCTGTAAGGTAGCTGTGATGGTCCAAAAATGAGGAAGGCAGACTTTGTAATGAAAGGTAAAGTCTTTGGTTTAGTCTAACTGACCTCATATAAAGATTTCTGGATATTCAGAAGTCTTTATAAGATCAAAGTTTGGAAGGAAAGTTATTCCAATTATTCTAATCTTTTAAAGAGGAAATAGATACTAGATTGTAGTTAAGCCTTTGTTATATTTTGGAAGATGTCAAATTAAAATAGGCTGCTTTTTCACATTATAAAAGAGAAATAACTAATGAATTATGTGGTACACACATGGAATATATTGCTTTACATAGTAGAAATGTGTCGGAATCTCTTAATGCTGCAACCAAATCTGTGGTATCTTTGAGATAGGGACAGAATATTTGACTTTGCTTTTGAAGAACCAAAAGCAATTAAAGGAACACAAACTCTTTTTAGACAAACAGAATTTCTTCATTTTTATTTGATCCTTTGCATATTCGGTTATCCTGTGAATCATCAGAAATTGGCTCAGTTTTTCATTTTGTAATATCTTACTAAGATGTTGAAAATTTAGCTTGTTAAGTTACTCCAACTCAAAAATTTAAGCAACTTGGTGAGTTGCTTAACATAGGCCTATCCAGAGAGCAGTAATTTGATTTTTCTTCTTGAGAAAAATTCTTTAAAAGTTATGGGCACTTCTGCTCTTTATACGATCACTGTTGTTCTTAGTCAAATATATGCTGAGTTCAAGAATTAAATGTGCCTTACTTGCTGTAGTTATTCAGTATATTGCATGCCAACAGCATTCAGCAAGTGTGAATAGTTCCCAACCATTTTTAAATTCAGCATAGCAGCATGGATTGTTGCAGTTTATGGCAAAAGTTTCTGGACTTTGGGACGCATACCATTAGTCAGCAGAAAGATATTTATTACTTTGCTCGGAACTATGAGCTGTTGTGGGTAACAGTGACAGCTGTCAAGGATATCTGAAAACCCTCTGTCTAAGAAGCAAGATTTATATATCAGTGTTTTATGATATAATTCAGCCAAATCATGCATGCATTGAAAAAGACAAGCTTTAAAAAAAAAAAATCAAATTACTTTGATTTTTATTTTGCTAGCAGTGGTAATTCTACTAGATGTACAACATGAGCTACTTTAGGAAGGGAAGTAATTTTAATCTTACTTCTTTTAAAGTAGAGAGTAGATAATAAATGTCTTTAGAGTATGTCTAGATTTTAAGAGTTCCAGCTGGTGTTGGTACACAGCCTCATCTGCTGTCAGGCTCTATTCACATTTCCTGTGATACAATGTAGAGCAGGGACTTATATAGCTTTTCAAAAATGAAACACAAAATACAACCAAACAGGAAAAACAACAAAAGTGGAAAGTATATAGAGAAGGCAGAGATGGGGCGGATCAGAAAAAAACAAGCTGTGGTGGGACAAGTTGAAATAACCAAAAATATCTGACGTTTTTGGAAGGCATCTATCTCTAGAGATCAGATTACTACTTAAGGATGCAATTTCAAGATTTGTCACCAAACATACATGAAACCTGATGCTAATTGTGTATCTAGATTTAGGCTGAATAAAGTTGCAGACAGTGGCAGCCTATTCCTTGTCTTCATTTACTCATCAAAAATGTTAGAGATCACAGAAGAGTTGGAAGGGAAGGTTTCTGGTCTGAAAACATATTTGAGGTTTCTTCTATATTGTAGAAAGCTAGTTGTGGAAAAAGACTGGGGAAATGTGCAGAAAGCTGTTTTTAAACATCTTGGACTGAAGATGTCCTGTTCAACCTTTAATGAGTCATGTTTCTTCTGTTTGTGAGACTTTGCCTCCTTTATACAGGGTGGACTGTGCACTTTGAATGTGGCTTTTCAGTATTTAGATTTCCTCCCCTCCCCAGCTCAGTCAATGGCCTGAATGCTTTATTAAGACACCAATTTCTCTGAAATTTCTTTAGTATGTGCCTAGTACAAAAGCAGCACATGAATTTTCAGAGTACTTAATGAGATAAGGGTGTATGATACAATTGAAATACTGGGAAGAATGGTGGACTTCACATCAGTTTATTTCAAACATCCAGGACTCCTAACATGATGTTTAAAACTGATTTAAAGTACACTCTGAAGAGACTTCAATTTAAGAAATTAATGCTGGTAGTTTTGAAAAAGTAGTATGTTGGTCCCAAGGTGAAAATGCAGAGAAAACTTAGTCAGTAATAATTTTGAATTTTTGTTTTTTAATTACTTGGAGCTATCTAAACAGGAATTGAGACAATTCTGTTCTTAGCTTCATTGTCTGATCATCCCTGATCCATGATGATCCCATAATGTTTCTCTGTGTGCAGCTGATTTTTTGTTTATATGCTTTTCTGTCTTCTATAACAGATAAAGTAACAGTTATGTTCTTTCTACTATAGAGCTCAAATGAGTTTTACTAAATTATAAGCAAAGGGCTCTCTTCATTGTATAATGAGATGGGGAAAATAGCACAAAATGAGTATTTAGCATCTGTAGATGTTAAATTCTGTAACTTCTAGAATTCTGTGACTTCTGAAAGGCTGACATAACTTCTAATAAGTTTTAGTTCTGATATAACTGATGTAGTGCTTTTCAGTCTGCACAGTATTTTTTTTTTCAATTAAATCCATCTTTAGAATCTCCTTGAAAAATAAGGGGGCAGAAAGGAAAACTAATGGAGAAGGTTAGTGTTCTGCAGAGTGATCCATAATCTTTGATCATTCCACTCTACCTGTTGCAACTAGAAGCCATTCTTGTTAAACTTGAATGCTTTAATTAGATATAATTTCAGTTAAAATAATCTTGCATTTAGTTGTTGATTTCCACCTTTGTGCTAATTATTTTATCACTTCTCCACTGGTTGAAGTAATAGAAGGAGCTGAAAAGCCATCTTTATTCCATGTGCATGACATGAAGGGAGAAATGTTTTATATGCAACATGTCTATAATTCAGGAGTTATTACATGTTCCTCAGTTGTGTCAGTGTTGCATTTGAAGTTACTGGAGTTGAAGGCATTTCCTTATATGTGGTTTGAAAACCACATATGAATGTTTGTTCATGTGTGTTCAAGAATGTGAACAGAAAAACTTGGTCATGCACAAGATATTATAGTCTGAAAATCTGCTAAAGAAGAAGAAATCCCAGTTATGGTAATTTTTTTGAGCAATGATGAAAACTTCTGTCCTTGATCCCTAATGACCCCTTCCAATTTATTGTCTTAGGTCTCCTCAGATTTTTTTCAGGGTATTCTGATGTTTCTCTACTCATCAAAGCCAGCAGCAAGATGTTCTTAATGTTTGGGATGTGCTAATCATTGTATACTGACTTCTCATAATACTCATGAGTCCTGAGGGGAGCAGTTTCCATATCTGTGTCATCACACACTATTGACCCCAACTTCAGGAACACAGTGACAGTTTAGAAAAAATTGAGTCTGTAATGCCCACCTGGATGCACTTTCTTTCTTCAATTTATATTTGTAAATATAATTGTGCTTTGAAGAAAAAGTATTTACAGCATTATCTAAATTCTTGTTCACACTTCATATTGGTCACAAAGTATTGAAAATATGGTATCCTTTCTACAGATCTTAAACTAAATATGGTATCCTTTCTACATATCTTAAACTATTAAAACCTGCAGTCATCTGCTCTCTATTTTCCTAAAAGACCTACCAGTCCTAAAAAGTGACATATAATTTGTCAAGGTAGACATTAGAATGGACTAAGCAATCAGTAATGCAGGACTTACCTGTTAGGAAGTGAGACACATAAAGAGGAAAGGACTGGCTATTTAATATTAACTTGTCATTGTAAGATTCAAGTCATAACAGTTCAAACCATGCAAGTTCATGCTAAAGCTCCTGTCTGCTGTTGGTAGGAAATGAGTTATTTTTCATACAGGTAACTAATGTGTAGATTGATGCACTTTTATATGTATGTGTATATCTACATATATATTTAAAAATGCATATTCTTGTATTTATTTCTCTCTGTGTGTATAAATCATCAGATATTTCTTCTGTTTTAGAGGTGCAACAAAAACCCGGACATCAACCCCTCCTAGTGTGGCAAGAACCATGAGCACGGGTGCTTTGACAAACAGAAGAAAAACTAGCAATTCAGACATTTCCTTAAGGTAGCTTTTAACTTTGTGGATTTTGTCATTAATACAGCCTTTATTAAAGGGGATTGCTTACTACAAGAGAAGTTGGGGAATGTGTTGTTCTCTGCATTTAATATATAATCAATATTATTTGGCTTGTATAAGGTGCTCAATATATTTTGCATGTTTATCATCTGACAGCACACTTTTGTCATCAGCTGTCTCAGATGTGCACAGAAGATCCTGTTGGAAATGTCAAAAACTGCTTGGGAGCGGAAAAAGATAACCAAATATTCTTTCAGTAGAAACCTAATTAAATCTGCATGCTAAGCACATAAATTGACTTGTCCTTTTAAAGGGTAGGATGAAAATTGTATTGCTAGTTTAGCCTTCTTTTTTGACAAGCTAGTTTTTAACTTTTCAAACACTCCAGTTAATGTAAGCAGTCAGTGAAATATTTGATCCTGCTCTTCAAACTCCGATGTTTTTTGTTTTCTTGCAGGGAAGGTGGGTATCTGGAGATATGTATGGGAGCCTTGGTAGTGTTGTTTATAAAATATGCCACTGTAAATGGGAAGTGAAGGAATGAAAATGACAGTAACAATAACTATATTCATTGTATGAATTAGACTTAATTTTACATTAAGTTATACTGAACTGACTTACAGAGGATGTTCTTCATCTGGGAATTTTCAGGTCTAATGGGAAAACTGGATATGACAATGGAGACTGCTCATCCTCAGTGAATGGAGGAAGTGCAAAAAGCAGTGAAGGAATTTCACCTGTACAGTTATCCAAGTTCTGCCATGAATGTGGAACAAAGTATCCAGTAGAATGGGCAAAGTTCTGCTGTGAGTGTGGAATTCGAAGAATGGTTGTGTGAACACATTCTTTAAAGCAGAAAGAAAACAAGAAACTGGATCATCTGCTATGTACTGTTGCATGGAAAGCTTGAGTGCTCTATCCAGTTAGACTTCATGCTGCAAAAGTCAAAACATCACTTTGTAATTTTCTGAGTGCAATCTTCCAGTTACATAGTTATTTATAAACAATGATGTATACTGTATATAAAAATAGCAGCTACCTAAAACTGTGCCATTCAAGGAAATTCTCTTTACTCTTTATTGAAAATATTTAAAATTAAGGTTAAAATGTATTAAGTAACCTAGGTAGCAGAAAGGTTCAATGTTATTTTTCTTTGCAAATCCTACGAAGCAAAGGATTTTTAAAATCTCTTATGTAGGGTAATACTTACCTATAGGGAACTAGCCATGAACAACTTGGGCTTCAGAAGTTTCTCTATGGAGACATTTCTTTCATCTATGGCAGTAACTTAGATGTTTCATTCTAAGTGAAAACAACATGAGGAATGCCTTATAAATTCCTAGACAAAAGTGTAAAAAGCTTAGATCTTTAAACTCTTTAACCGTAATATGCTAATTGGACTTTCCAGTTGCTTTCTAGGATTTTTTAAAGAATCAAAGTGGAAAGACTACCTGAGAATTCTCTTTGTATCTAATAAGAAAGGCAAGATTTTCTTTTTGTGGCTTTCCATGTTCTGTTTTTCAGTAAAAACATGTTAATATTTTATGTATTTATAAGCAAAAATATGGTATTAATTTTATTATTATTAATTTTAAGTTCCTTTTGTTTCAAAATATTGTCTTGCTCCTCCTGTGTTCCACCATGACTAGCATATGTAAAGGTGTTGTGCTTTGTCCTGTTTCCAAAGGTCCTGCTCATTTTTTTCTTTTCACTCATTTCCTCAAGCAAAGTTGAAGTCTATGCTTATCCTACCTAAATGTTGAACTCTTATTTTGAAAACAGCCTTCTTGATGTATCCAATACCAAAAAAAAAAAATAGTTCTATAAAAACGAATGCTAGTAGAGCAGTAGATCTTGATATAAGTAGCGAGTATTTTTTATTCTTATTCCTGTGAATATAGCACAGCTTTCATATATGAATGCATAGGGGAGTAACTGCTTCACTGCTATATGTGTCAATACCCAAATTTTTTTTTTTTCAGTTTTGTGTATTTCTGATGTTAAAAACAGAAGTTTTTTCAAGTTAGTAATTGACTTCACATTAATCCATTGGGAAGAAGGGAGAGACTCAAAGTTGTTGGGTTTTTTACTAATTACACAGTAAATTAGTAAATTACACATTTACTAATAAAACCATTCACAAGCCAAATCACTTAACTTGTATCTTAATATTGTAATTTATTTTGTGAATTTTTGCTTTGAAGTCCTTGCACCATCTTCATTATGTGTGACAGAACGATCTGAAATAACTTAACTGTGCCTTTCCCACAGTAAATAATTTTTTGTCAGAAACTGGTACTTTCAGCTCACAAACAGCATTAGTCTCAATTCATTTAATTTCTTTACAACTAAAATATAATGTAGTGTTCCATGGTACTATTATGTTTGCTGCTTACAATCTCAAAAATTGTGATTATCAATGGGGCCAATTTAGAAGAAAGCATGATTGAAGAAAACCATCTTCCAAGCAGATACCAGTCTAAGGGTGAGTGATTTCAGAGACTTGATATAGTTATGTTGCAGGCCACAGGCTATTGATGTTTTAAAATTAGTTCAGTGAATTTATCCTTCATTCAGTGTAGTCTTTTCACAATTGGTGTAAACTGGCTATTGAGTATTATAGAACGGATGACTGGTAATGATACTTAGAGCTGATAAATCCTAGCCAGTTTATTTTCTAGGAGTTTAGATTCTAGGATCCATATTATGACACATTCATGTCTGTATTTAGAAAAACTGGAATTGTGCATTCTTTCCATAGCCTGCTTTGGAAAACTTTCCCTGGACTTAGGCCGTGGAGATCTGTAGACATGTTTTGTGAGCTGAGAGTCCAACAGCAAAGATACCAGTCCAGAACAGATTTGATTAGATAGTGAATCTACTCCTACCTAATAAATTTGCAGTTGTTTCTGCTGGAAAATGCATTTTTTCCATTTATTAAAAATGCTTTCTACAAAGGGAATGTTTAGTATGGTACTCAATACCTTTCAGATTTTCCAGGATTATTGTAACTGTAGGAAAAAACATATTGATTTCAAATCAATACTCATACAGTTAATGTATTTTCTGCTTTGTGAGATGTTTGTGAGATTCTTTGCTTTCAATGCAGCATTTAGTAAATTACTTGAGTAGCACATAATTTGATTCTCTTAAACGTGATTTTTCATGAGGGTTAGATAGGGAATTAACCTGAATGTAATAAAAAAGGTTTTTAAAACTGATCTTTTAATTTGGCCCTATAAAGAAGGTCTATGAAACGTAATTGACTATTTATAGTAACACTGGATAATATGTATGTGTTGTAATCCACAGTAAATATAAGCAGACAATTAAATTCTTTTTGACTGTGTAGTTTGGTGCTGTATGGTAAGACTTACGAGGCCCAGTATGTTTTGTGTTTGTCAACTGGTTTTGTTTCTGAAGGCTGTGATGTTACAGACCCTAGCCAGAATTACTGAAGGTATCAACACAGATCACTGCAATTCCATCTCAGTGGTTGACTGTACAAAACAATGGATTGGTTTTCATAATGCCCTCAAAGAACTGAATGTGGCAAACAAATTTGTTAATATTTAAAGAAAAAAACCCAAATTTGTTATATTTAAAGAAAAAAAAACTTTCAGAGAGTTGGACTGAATTTTCAATCTTTAGTGTATTACATGTGTCAAGAAGTTTGCAGAGTTAATTTATTGGTCATTTACATCCAAACCCTCTTGCCCTAGTCTTCTCTGCACACTTATGCCTTGGATTTCATGTGAGGAAAAAACATTAACTATGCACTGTCTGTTTATACTGAACTTTAGTGATGCAATCGTTGTGATGATTCCTATACCAATGTCTAACCCTATGACAGATTTACTGTCAGCCATTTTATCTTCCTAATGTTCTTACTAAGGTTCTTCCATTCATTAAAGAAGTGAGGAGTGGGGGGCAACGGTGAAAAGTCAACGGCAAAATTCCATTTAAAGAAACAGGAAGAGGCTGGTTTTGATGTTTGGCCTGAGGGAGTTTGCATTCCCATTCTACTTTTGTGATTTTCTCTTATACAAAGGACCTCTCTGTGCCAGGAAGTAGTGCAAGATCATTGGAACTATGCTGATAGAAGTGCAATGGAGTTATAAAAATGCTAGCTTCAATAGTAAAAACAGCATAGCATAAAGCTTAATCTCTATATAATGTACCTTACACAGGTTTATATTTATGCATGGTGTCCACACTCTAGGTAGTTTCAGAACTGGAATCTCCAAATATACAGCAATTAAAATATGTGTTTATATGAATAATTAGTCTTACACACCACTGCAAGGAGGTGGGCACAGGGAGATGCTTCACCCCCATTTCAGGTTGTAACTATGAAATGAGCATCTAGGTAGAATTTTTCAGATTTGCCAAAGAGACTCGAAGAGACCTTAAACTCCCTGGAAGGAGGGAAAAAGCTCCACCTGAGAGTTCCCTGGCTGGAAGGGCATCAGGCAGGGGGAGCTTTCCACGTGCTCTGGCGCTGAGCCTCTCCCGCAGTGCTGGGGCAGCAGCTGCTCCAGTGCAGCCACACATCCTGTGCCTCCACAGGATGGGAACTCCAGATTGTATTGTAACACCTGACCCAGTCTTTATGCATCATGGAAGTGCTCTGTCATCTGCAAGGGACTAGCTTCGAATTCACCATCGCAGCGGAGAGCTGGGGCCTGAAATGCAGGGAGAGCGTTTTTGAGATGCCTGCTTAACTGAGTCAGTGGAAGGAGATATGACTGCAGTACTTTAAATAAACAAGATAGGTGCACACTGATGTAGACTATGTAAATAGTCTGCATATGAAATTGAATGGTATTGTCTATGTATTACAAAGGTCACAAGAACTGCTAATTTCCATCACATAGGCTTTGTATATCTGCAAAGAACAAACCTGTAATGAGTGTTTTCAATTTTGGCTGAAAAAATTGTGCTTAGTAAGAGCACTTTTTAAAATTTTTTTTTTCTATCCAGTTTGACTAAGCTATGAATAGTTATATGGGTTGTATGAGAAGGTAGAATTTTCATCTTTGGTAAAATTTGTTCTAGTGAATCTGGTGAAAATAGTTTGATTGCCTTTCAAGTACAGCTTATTCCAACTTCTGATTGTTTTGTTGCTGGTTGGTTTGGTTGGTTTTTTCCCATCTTGCTAAGTAAGATTTGAGTGACCTAATTGTGTTGTTTGAAGAAGTGTTAGGTAAAAGACTTCATTAGCTGAGTTCAGTAGTCACTTGGTTGATATTTTTGTTCCAGTAGTCACAGTATAAGACATTAATTACTCTTGCATACTAGTTCATTTTTTGGTTTGTTTTGGGTGAGTTTTTTTGGTGTTATGTCAGTCCAGAATAATATACACTTCTGGAGGATCCTATTTAGCCCCATTCTACTTCATCTTGCCAGAAAACAGCTTCTCGTAATAAGTGTTCATTCTTTACAAAAGTAATCGATAGGGAAATTATATTTTCCCAATTGGAACATTTGGGTCAGCAAATCAAATACTCAGTTTAATACAGCTGAATATTGAACCCACGTTCTAAACAGAAGTGCATGGTTTACCATAGTTTTATATTTCAGTTTGGCTTTCTGGCAGAACCATGAATTTGGGTGGGATATGTGAAGTGCTGAGTACAGTACAACTGTTACAAAATCTACTTTATGTGATTGCTCTAACTCTTGGTGTTCATCCTTCATATGACACTTAATATGTTTCTCTTTGTAAGTTGATTTATTAATGTTCTGTGTTTTTAAATGGTGTGTTCATTCATGTGTTGGAGGTGGTTAATTTTTTCAGCATTGCATTTATTATGTTTGTCTTGCCCCTCAGTACATGGAATATTTGTTTGTGACCATCCAGTGAGGGTTTCTTTGGCCAGAATTCCTTTGTTTGTTTGCCTCTTATTTCTTATGTTTATTTTAAAGTGTCAATTCAGTTTTAATTAATAAATGTAAATCACCACCTAATGCTAATTTGCCACTTGTTAACAAAGCAAATATGCCAATAAAACTTCTTGTGATGTGCAATTTTTTGTAGTCAAGTGTAAAATTATCTTCTATAACATAGCATACAGGTAGGTAATATAATTTCAGTCTTATTAATATTGTGATATCTGATCTCAGGTACACAAAGAATAGGGTTTTTAAGTTGTGTGAGATGATACTTGAATTCCTAAGTCACCTTGAAAAACATAGCAGATAGTTAAATCAGTGTGATCTGCTTATATAAAGTTAACCCTGTATCTCCTCTATTTCCCCAACTATAACTGAGAATTTAGTTTATGTAGAACCCATCACTGTGGCATCTGTAGTATTTTTTTTTTCTTAATAATAAAACTGTAAAGGATAGTAAACTTAAGCTTGATCTGGGTTTGTTATCCTTCATGACATTAGAGGACTGTTTTGTTGATGAAATTACGAAGAAAAAAAAGTTGTCTATGTTTTTCTTCAGAAGTTAATTTAAGTGAGCAGAAATTATAATGAAGGTTTGGATTGCTGATTTTTTTTTTTTTTGCTAAATATAGATTAATAGAGATCAATAAATCTTTTAATTTCTTTTTATAGGGGAAACTTCCTTCTACTGAACTCTTTAGTTTACTTGGAGAGATATAGATTTCAGAGATAGACTGTTGAGTGGAAATGGAATTGACTGGATAGATGCAGCTGGAACGTTGTGGACAGTGTATCTATGTCCAGGTGGAGGCTGGTATCAAGTGCTGCCCATCAGGACTCCTGTTTTGTGACTCTTGTTTTGGTGTTGTTTTAGTATCTTCATCAATGACACAGTCAGCTCGAGTGCACCCTGGGCAAGTTGAAGGACAGGGACTGGACTGCCATGACTTCTCAACTATCATGAGACACTTCCTCTGCCAGTTCCCTCACAATCTGCAGATGTATTGCATCAGGTCCAGGGACTTGTGCACCTTCAGGTTTTTTAGATGGTCTCAAACCTGAGCCTTTTGCAACAACATTGTGAAAATCCTTTTATTTTAAATACCTATTTTTTTATCCTTGACACCTTCCCATAAATTCCATGTACTTCTAAATCATGGTTTTGACCTACTCATAGTATTTCTTTTCTGTGGCCAGATAAATAAATAAATGCAAAAGTGAAAGTGACAGGGAGGTAGGCATGATGGTGATAATACCATGCACAGTTTTCATCCCTTTGCCAATTCCTGAAAAGCACTTGAGTACCACATTTGTAAGTTCAGGAAACCTGAGGAAGTTCTCAAATGGAAGAAACAAATCAAAGAGCACATGTCACTGCATTTAGCAGTTAGTGCTTGCATGTAAGCAGTGACTCAGGAAATTTGGCAACAAGAATCAGATAGGCAGGTTATTTATTAAAAGAAGTAATCAGAAGAAATCACAATTTCATAATCACTTCATTTAAATTTCTGCTCTGGATCTACCCTTGGTCTTTCGCCCAGGGTAGTCCTGGAATTGCTTCATTTCTCTCAGGACTTAAGTTGTGGACTGTTGCTTAAGTAACTTAAACTGACTGACCTTTCGATTTTGTAGTAGCTAATAACTACATCTGTGTATTTTTGCTTTAATTCACACTGCCCTTTGTTTGCCAAGTGGTTATTAGGAAATAAGTGTTGGCTTTTAACTGTTCTTGAAATTCCAAAGAATATCAAAACAACTGTTCTTCAGTCTCGGAGACCAACTGAATTTGCAGTCTCCTGGGTCATCTTTCAGAAAAAAGAAATTCCAGTGAAGTCCTTACAATTGTGGTTACATTCTCTTCATCTGCAGTATGATACTGGGAAATGTTTCCTTTCCCTGTTCCATGAAGAATTTATGGGTTGGGGTTGGTTTCAGTTTTTTGAAGTTTTTAGAGTTAAAGCTGTAATCTCCTACATGAAGAGCTAAAGAGAATATGTGGAAGTCTCAGTCACAGTTTACAAAGTTACCACTCCTGCCTCATCATCGCCATAAATGCACAGGGGATTGGAGAGTGTGTATTTCAGGAAAGCATGACATGCTTTGCTCTTCACCTCTTCCCTCTTAGAATCAGTACAGCAATCTTATTCCAGTCAAATACATAAAATTAGTGCTGTTTACTATCAACTGAGCAAACAGCGCTTTGAAGCACATCCTGCTGCTTTTTCAGGTGTTTGTTCTGAATACCAAGATTTTTACAGAGTAGTTTTACAGAAAAATTCACACAGATAAAACAATTTGTTAGTTTACTTTGAATCAGGAAACAACTGGCTGACTTAACTAAAGCTTTCCTGAAGTATTTAGTCCAAGGCAGATGGCTGGTATGGAAATGTTTACCTAAATTGGGCAGGTTACAAGCAGCTAAGAAATGGGTATTTTAAGACAGGAATTCCCCAGCTGGGGTTTGAATGACTGATTATCTCTGAAAAAATTTCAAACTAAAAAAGGAGTCACAGTAGTCAAACAGTGAACAGCCCAATTTCATAGAAGACAAATATTTTATTACCAAAGGAGTTATATCAAAGTAAGAAACTGCAAAAGAGTAATAACTATAAAAATACTTATATTTATTCAAAATAAAATATGAGCACTTTATTAGTTAAATGCCAATATATTATTCTCTGACAATATTCACATATTTTAAGTCATGTTTGCCTAACATCTTAAAACATGTTACATAAAAAATTGCATATGAGAAATCACAATCTGAAGCTAAGGAATTCTAGCTCCTCCTGCAGCTAACTCTGAGTTGATCAAATGAATGAGTGTAGTGCTGTTTCCTGTGGGAATCCAGGGCATCTGATATTTTCCAGTCAACTGAACAACTTACATTCAGGCACCTTTTTCTTCTTCCACAGGATTCAGTCTTGCCTGTGCTTCAGCCAGCAGAAGCATGCTGCATCTCTCAAAAATCAGTACCCTTCCTAAGTTTTTCAAAAAGCTAAGTTTTTCCCTGTTTTTCCAAACCCAAATCAGTTAGCAGATCCATCAGACCTACACCAAAAACACTTCTGTGTCAGGAGAACATATCCAAAATAAGCTGCTGCTTTGGTAAATTGTTACTTTTAGTCCTTGGTGTGTTTTGCATAGACATAAAGAAACCAGCTACTTTTTCATACTCTTTTGCTTCACCTGCAGATTCCAAGATGTTTTTTAGAAATTCCAGTAGACATGCAAGTGGATGCTTTCATATAACAATATTATAAAGTTACTTGAAAAATCATAAAATTCAGAGTAGTTTCCAGAGCACAAAGGTTGGACACAGACATTTGCAGAGTTCTTTGTTTCACATGCTGGTCTTCTAGTTCCACTTCTTGGACTTCAGCAGCTTGGTTCAGCCATTTCTGCTTCTGTCATCTCCAGGAACAAGGTACAGTTACAGTAGCCTTCCATCAGAATTCTGGCATAAAGTGTTCATATAAGCGAGCAAGGTTACTTGAAGAATGCATGTAAAATGCAAAGATACCAAGTAATGCCACTTTGAAAGAAAAGAGCAGGATTCACCTGGAATCACCTGGAAATTAATTTTTCAAATTTATTCCAGCAGGATCGAAGGCTAGATATATTTTCTTTCAGTTCACAAACTTCTTGGTTACATTTCTTTTTGGACTGTTCACTTGTCTCTGTATCTTCTATTCTAAATACATGTGGGCAAACCTGAAACAGAACAGATTGTATTGTTATCTGAAAAGAGACCCTGCCCATGGGACTGTGAGAATGTGGCTTTAACTCAGAGCAAATAAGGACACCTGAAACCAGTGTGTCCAACTAAGAACATGTCCTTTCTCCATCACAGATTAAAATTTATCATCCATTGTCTGAAGGACTGAGAAAATAAAGCCAATTAATTTGTGAGCCAAACTTTGACCATATGTGTTAAGACTAGTGGAACAAGACAGACCAGTTCCAGGGGCTGGTGCTGTGCCCTAGTGTTCAAGATCTCAGCCAGACAAAGCTCCTGTGGTTCTTGTTCATTTTCAATGACTGCTCATAATTTTTTGCTAAATTAATTTAATTGGGCTTTAAATAAAAGCAGGAATCCATAAGGCTAGGCAGGAGTTGCAAGGGTGACACTGACTTCTGTGTCTTCACTGGGATACCTTTAAAGTAAGGTAAATGTTGGATTCACCAGAGGTGACAAAGCAAAATATAGACACTAACTTACTTTAAAGATCTCATCCCAGACTGTCTCTCCACTTCAAGGAGAAAAATAAAGAGATAATGAAGTCTTCAATCCATCTTTTTAAGCATTTTATTTTTGGTGCCTATGTGGAGACTTTTTGACATTGGTTAATATTTTTGTGTTCAATAGGTAATGCTGAGCCACACTTAAAAGAACACTCTTCCTTTGCTACAGTAGTCAGTAGATCACTGTGCTGCATTTAAGTGGCGCCTCAAAAAGAAGATTCTGCCAAATACTAAAAAAACAAATATTATCATACCTAATTGTTCTTGTTGAATTTGAGAGATTGTGGTTAAAATAAACACCAGAGAGAATCTCACCCTAATTATGGAGACAAACCAAATTAAACATTACTCTTAGGGTTAGTGAGAGTTACGACTCTGACTATACTCCAGAGAAGTTTAAATGCCTTCTTTGCACAAGCCTGATACTTGTTTCTCACTGGAGAATTAATTAAGTGAAATTCAATTCACTACTGAACCAGAGCAGGTATCTTCACCATAGACTTCCAGATGATTTTCTTAGTCTTTGCACTGGGCTTAATGTCTATTACAAGACAAATGCTATACAGAGGAAACTTCCTCTGGCATAGAACATATGTCATGTACAAGATATTTGTATCATTTAGAGGCAGATGTGATAATCTGTGTTGAAGAGCTCTAGAAAATAAGGCAAATATTTAAACTTACACACTAAAGTTGAGTACAACTCACCTTTTCTTTTTTTGGTCTTTCACATTTACACTGTAGAACTTGTAATGTCCCACATGAGACGAATGCTGCTTTCTGTCTAAAGGCTTTGCTGATTTTCTGCTTATTAAAGAATCTGAGCATGTTGCACGCCATGCTCTGTAGTGATTCTATTTCCTGTCAAGAGAGCAAGGAAAATGTCCTGAAAAGTTTGTGCACCATTAATTATTTGTAATGTTAGTTTATATTTTAAAAACTACAAACCCTCCTTTAATTACTATTGGTTTCTCTTGCTTTCATAGTGCAAATCTTTTTCAATAAAACACATAACTAATCTGACTGACTTGCCATCTTTTTGAGATATTAAAAGCAACCATTTTTAGTAGTAATAGTAGCATAAGTATGTTAGGGAGAAATAACAGCTGTAATCAAATCAATCGATGCAGTTAGGAAAACAAATTATTTAATGATTTATGCTACCAGTCCTTTTATCAAGTCATGATAAAATCTGTGGCAACAGCTGACAATTGTACTTTCTGGCATTTGAGATCTGCCCAAACTACTATTTTAAAGCTTCCAGGTCTGAAGTAAAAAGCTTAGCTAATACAACTTTATATATTAAAATTAAAAAAAAGAGATTGGGAAATTGTAATATTTACTTCCATTGGCAAAAATAAAAGTTTCTGTTTTGTTTAAAAAATGAAAAATGAAGAAGCTTCATAGGAGGGAAACAAACCACACATTTTGTGGACATGGAATTGCTTAATATTTAAATGTTTAAAATATCAATTTACTCACACATCATATAATTCCAGATTCAAAAAACAAACCATCCTAAATACTGTGATTTTACTTTTAAAACAAAATACTACCCTATCATGCTATTTTATCCTGGACTGTACAGAGAACTCATTTGGCTTTGCATTCTCTACATTCTGAAAAGTTAAATTTTACCTCAGTATCATTGCAGAAAAACACTTTGATATTTTCACGTCTTTTATTCGTGCAGCACCTGTCACGATTCTCTGCAGACATATTTACCTGTAAAATATCATAGATGTTTAGACATGGCAGTACTGTGTCAGTGCTCAGTCACCCTCACAGTAAAAAGCTCTTTCCTGATGTTCAGAAGGAACCTCCTGTGTGTTGCTGTGTGCCCACTGCCCCTGGTCCCATCACTGGGCACTGTTGATAAAAGCCTGGCTCTGCACTCTTTGCCCACTCACTTGAGGTATTTCTACACATTGATGAAATCCCTTTGAGCCTTCTCCAGGCTGAACAGCCCCAGCTCTCCCAGCCTTTCCTCATCAAAGAGATGCTCCAGTCCCTTCAGCATCTTAGAGGCCCTTTGCTGGACTCTTTTCAGTAGCTCCATATTTCTCTCATACTGGGGAGCCCAGAAATGGACACAAATCTGTTCAATTTAAATCTTCGTATTCTATCGAATTGCTTTGTTCTTTGGAAATTCTGAGACATAAAGCAATGTTTAAATCTTACATCTGAATTGTAGCATTGAATACATTGAATACAATGTTTGTCAATGTTTGTCACAATAAATAAATGTCTCAGCTCTAAACAGATGGTAACACTCACTTTGCATATGTAATAACAGAAGATGGCCTAAGCAACATCACATGGTCTTTTGCCTGATTATATTTTATCAATACTTTATCCTCTCTTGTAGTTTTTTCTTCCACTTTCACACTTGTCATCAAGATGACAACGGAAGCCAAATCAACAGAAGTTATGTGTTCTTCAGCCTGTATCCAGACATTCCAGTTAAGCCAAAGGGCTTTAAAAAAGTCAGCTCATGAAAGTATTGTTTTAGCTCTCTGCAATTAGCCGTGTGTATGAACACATCAGACAGTTAATTCCTAAAGGTTTTCTGCAGAAATTGCCTGTATTTCAGAAGTTCACCCAAGATAAACAGAACTTTTTCCAGAAAGTGTTTTCAAAACCAAGAATTTAGTCTGTCAAATATGCACTGACAAAGGAAAAACAAACACAAAACAACAAAACCAAATTAAAAAACACAAACCACCAACATCAGGAAGCTAATGCAAATGCACATCTTTTCTTGCACCACAACAGATATTGGTGCAGTCACACAGCACCAAAATTTATAATTATATATGTGTGTATATATATATATATATATTTATATAATCACCCTAAAAATGATGTATCTGTCACTTCATTTGTAAACTGCCACGAAATATTCCCATCCTCTCTAGTTTGCTCAGATCACCTTTAGTATAATGGTCAGTAACAACATCTGAAGGCAGTTTATTGGCTGTATCTAAACCAACCTAAGGGAAATCATGACCTCAGAAAAAGCATTAGTGAAAATTTATTTACCTTGCAGAGACCTAGTATATGACTCACTATCCTGCTGCGCAGCAAACCCCTAGCTGCTCCAAACATCTGGCTGAGGAGCTGAAAGCTATTGACTTTGGCTCTGCAGTTGCAGGAAAGTGCCTACTGGGTGGTTGCTATCACACAGCACACATAATATTTGCTGTTAACTTATTGTGACAGTACACTGATTATAAATAGAAGACAAATTTCTCTTAAATGAGGAAAAGACAAGACAGAAAAAATGAAGAAACTTGTACAGTAGTTGCTTGTGCATGTCTTCTAGGAAGTAGAAGCTTCAGAGCTCAGTATATTCCCATTAGTTTTCACAAACATTAATTCATGAAGGTTTTATTTATGTATTTATTTTGATAACTCTTTTAGTTTTCATACAGTCTTTTATAAAACCCCCATGTCTTAAAATATTGCAATAATATTTATTGTAACTAAAAAAGAAAAAAAACTTTTAAAATCTATCTGGAATAATGGCATTGCTCCATTCCAATCCTTGATGGCACCATGGGGCACTGACTACATCAAGCTCCATCCTACAACAGGACAGTGGCAAGGCATTGCCCTACCCAGGCCGGGCCAGTCCCCCAGCCTCCCTGACCCTGCATCCTGAGCAGGGCTGGGAGGCAACTCATGGATCTCCACCAGCAGAAGGCAGCAGGATCTGCCTCCCAGAGGGTGTTATTCCTTTGTATCATTTTCTCCTGTGGGTCAGCTGTCTTCTAACTGCTCACCAAGAGAGTTTGTTTTTGTTCTCTAGGGAATACTTGTCTTTGTCAGAAATGAGACAGCAAACTAAAGGGAGTACATATGTATTCTAATATGGCCATTAATATTCTCCCCAGATTTGATGCCTCATTCAGGATAAAGTCATTTATCTGCAGAGAAATACCTTTCTCTCTTCAGAATCTCAACCAACATAACATGATCAAAATGTTAAAAGATCATTCCCTGACCATAAAGGTATTTTGCTTCCAGATGAGGGTTGATGTGTCTTGGGTTGGAGACCACTGCCATAATGTTTTGAAGGATGGTGATAGTTTCACAAGTGTCAAGAAATCAAATGACTCCTGATTTTTCCCGTGGAAAAAGGCTGTGTATTATTTGTATTTCATGCAAATAGATCTTGATTTAAGACTGCAACAGTATGGTGAATTCTCATTTAGTGACAATCTGTCAGGAAAATCACATTTTTTTGTGGGAATGCCTCTACTAATACAACTGTTTTAAGTGTTTCCCCATGGAAGTATTCTTGACAGATGAATTTAATTGCTAATAATTCATGAGGAAGAACTGGAAGGTAAATTTTGGGCATGGATTGGTAAACTGTTAAGAAACTACTTTGCAAACCTAGAATAAATGTGGCTGATAAAGACATAAAGGAGGAGATTTACACATGAGAATATTAAATTCTTCTCTGCTGCCATCTAGAAAAGATAATTTTTGTTGGCTAAATAGGATATATTAATAGGTACAAAGAAACCTATTAAGATACAAACTTTTATTGTCATATGAATGTTGTGCCTCTGTGTATTTGTACTCAATGGACAACATAAAACTTCAGTCAAGAACTCTAATTAGTAGAACAAATTACAGGTGTGATGCTTTCTTCTCTTGATGAAAGCATACAAACAGAAGTAGAAACAGTTTAGAAAAAAGTACTTTCTAATCAAATATATGATGTATGGCCAAATAGTACATGTGTCTAACAACATAATGCACAGGCACAAAAAACTGTATCACAGTATTTGTACATGCAAATAGGCACTATCCACGGATTTCAGAAATTGTAAAGAGTGTGAATTGTTGCACCTCCTCAAATAAAACCACAATTCCAGCATAATATGTGACTTTAAATAGGTCTTTTATCATGTTTTAACATTAGAGCTTTTATTATTAATTGTTAGCATCTAAAAATAATCAACATGTTTTGGAAGCCCAAGAGCTGCTACCTACCAGCTCATTGATGTCGTGACTTAGTATATTTTCATACTTCACACGGATTTCAGTTGTTTTATTTCCCATTGCACAGCTAGATGCTTTCACTGGAGACAGAACAAGGAGCAGTGGCAGAACTGGTAAGGTAGATCTGAAAAAGGCTGGATTGCAAGAACAGTTAGGTACATGTTAGTTAACGTCACAGATTGTGTGCTGTATTAACAAATACATTCTGTAATCTGTTAAAATAGTTTAAAAGGGATCTTCATACAGCTAAATGACTTGTGCCTTGCTAGAGGGAAGGATTCACCTCCAGATTATGACACTCTTTAGGTGTCTAAACTCACTCATACCCCAAGATGATTTGGCCAGTGTGGATAAGAGCCTACAACTCTTGAGCTGACCAGCTACTTGGTGAGTGCTTGGGCTGAATTCATCCTCAGGGTTCACTGCAAGCATTGAGTTTTATTGGACCATAACCACATCAGACACATGTAGAGGAGTGTTTTAATCATATATATTTAGACATTCAAGTGTTTTAACCTGCAGCTGAATCTCATCCCAGCTGCCCATTTTTCCTTTGATAACTTCTACAAATACCCCTGAACACACCTCTACAACAGAAGTGTGTTTAAACATATTTTCAGGCTGACCAAATGTACAAATCCATGCCACTGGCCGTAACATGAGATGCAACACAACCTTCTCCACAAGGTTTTTGCAATATTTGTGAGCAAACTTCACTGCCCATCACTTTGTTTATCCCTTTAGTGGACTGCCTTCCTTTGCTCTGACCCCTGGTCTTTTGTCATGACATCCAGGAAAACATGAGTTCTGTGAGGATGGGAAGAGAGAAAACACCAAAACATCAAAAGAGCCTGAAGAGAGTGACAGGAGCCTGCAGGTGACTCACGTGGTACTGGGAATGAAGGAGTCCAAACACATGATAATATGTGATTAGGAATAATTGGACTCTGGCATATTGCTAGTCTGGCTAAGATAATGCTTAAATTGAAGATTTTGGGAAAAAAAAATCCCACAAAAACAAAGGTATAAATTTATGATGGAGGACTAGCAAAGATCACAGCAAGTTCCTGGAGGAGTACGTAGTGTTTCTGCCCATCTTCATCACTGAGTAAGAACAACTGCATATGGAGCAGCTGAGGGATAGCAGCCAGGAAAGGAAGAGGGGATGCCCTGGCCCCAGCTGCTACTTTCCTTCCTCTCTGGCAAGGATGAGGTGTTGGGTACAGCCAGTCCAGCACCCAAGAGATGGGCACCTCTTGGGCATCACTAGTAAATCACAGCCTCAGAGAGGAATTTTGAACAACTAAGAAAACTGCAATAAAACTTGACCATAATTGGACCATAATTTGACCATAACTTGACCCACTTTCTTCTGCAATGCAAGAACTAAGGCACACCACATGCTCACTGCCATTAAAAGAAGCACAGTCCCTTACAGCCCATCACAGCCAACTCCCACCACACACAGCAGACTGAATCCTCAAAGAAGAATGCATGCTTTTCCTGACTAGGGAAGCATTCTCTTTCTGATAGATTGCATGTGAACATGTGGTTATGTACACCTCTGTCCTGGAAACAGGACTGGAAAAATTTTACCTGTACAAGCTAAATCACAGAATTATGGAGAAAGCTGCCTGACAAACTCTAATTGGAAATTTCATGGGTTGAAAACCAGATTTTCTGGCCTTTTCATATACTGATCAATTGAGGTCTATTAATGTCTCGAGAAATCTAGCCTGATGAGCTAAGTGAATCTAAATGGATCCTACATGTAGTAAATTTAAAAACTCTGTAAGGTGACTCTATTATGATTTTCAAGCTCCAAGTGGACACACCTGACATCCACAGAGCTTTATTTATGTAAATCTCTATGCTAACTATATCTCTGTAGAATAATTTATCAGTTTGAAGGACAAAGATTTAGTATTTTGAAAGACACTTACAAAAAACATTCAAGAACGCAATTATAGGGCAACATTTTTCCAATCTCCCATTGCAGCTCTTGATTCCAGTGCCAAAGATGAACTGCAATGCTTGTTCACAAATAGGGTAATACCAACAACTTGGATATGCTGCTTCACAAATACTTGAAGGGAGGAAAATAGCAATCCTATACATTAAAACAATCTGTCTCCATCACTTTAAACTTGGCTTGTCTAGCTACAAGTAGAGATAAGATATTGTACAGATTGCCAGTCTTTTTTAAATGAGGAAATTACAGATTAAAAGTAGGTCATGTGATACACACTCATGAAGTCCCTTGAGCCACTGAAGGAAGGTTATCAATTTTTTTCAGATATTCCTAAACGAGTTCTCTGGAAAAAATATTAGACAAGTGTCGTAAAAAGTTTGAGGAGATGTAGACTGAAAATTGAAAGGAATTTTCTTTAAGTTAGGTAACTTTGAAAGAATGGGAGTTTGGGGCACTTCCTATGGCCAGCAATTCAAAAGAAAAAGAGCATTTCTGGTAATAAC